AATTGGCGGTGGGTGGTGATGACTAGCTGCCTTCCCTCTAGTCTTACACTGCTAAATTAGGGACGGTTAGCGCAGATAGCCCTCGTGTAGCTTTGCGCGAAATTCAAAAACAAACAAACAAACAAAGAAATATATATATATATACATATATATTGAACGGAAATCCTGGGTCGTGATTTTGGTCAGTTTTAGGACCTGGAAAGGTCTAGGTAATTTGTAGACCTCTTCCTCCCTGCCGGAGAGTTGGTGTATAATCTATAATTTTATTCGTATATTTTCACTGATTCTTAGTTAGCAGTGTTTAATTCATCGTGGGGGGGGGGGTGAATCTGGGGAATGTATTAAAATTCGACAAAATGGAGGATTTTTTTGCACAGGGGGAATTTCCCCTGTACTCACCCTGAATTAAACACTGTTTGGTAGCATCCCTTTACTTTGTTGCGTTACTTACAATTTATTAATGTATTGACGATTGTCCGCAATTATTTTAGTTAGTATGATATACCCCTTTTCAGGCCATGTACATTTCGTGGGGTAATATTAACTTATATACTTTCATTAAGCTTCACTTATGTATGATTGCACTTTTAGACCTGTGTGCACTATACAGGCCCACGCTGTGCACGTATACACACACACACATAATTCTATTTCCTCATAAAACCCTTTTTAAAATAGAACTATGTCCGTATCTACGAGTCAGTTTGCCTAGTACTATGTGGCCTCTTATTAATGATATTTAGACTATTCTACTCAGGACTAGATTTCACACGTATGATATAGCTTTAGTTGCTCATCAGTACGTTTTTATCTATGTTTTTCTTTTAGTATTGAATCGAGTTATTTAGGAGGTCTTTACTGAGATTACAACTTTGTCTTTGAATTTCGCATAAATCTACTCGAGGGCTATCTGCGCTAGTAGTCTAATTTTGAAGTGATAGACTAGAGAAAAAGCAGCTAGTCAACACCATTCTCCGAAAACTCTTGGACTACATTTTATCAACTAAAATTGGTATTATTCTTATAAAAATTTTACGATCTAAAATTAAATAATGAATTATTGCATATTAACACTTAATAGCATATCCAAAATTATTATTTTTTTTTCACAATAGAGACCTGTAAGTCCCTGTGTACCATTCATTTTAGCGCTGAAATCTTTTTTTTTTTTCCTAATAACTCGCAACCAACGTGGAGTGAAATCAGGTGCATCTTTTCATAGTCGTTGACAAGTTTTATGACAGAAAAAAGGGCACTTTTGAGGCATAAGAGCAAGAAGGCAGAGGCTTAAACCCGCTCAACCACCCCCTGTGCAACGTCACTGCCGTGACCCTCAGGTAGCGAGTCGATTGCCCTAACCCTTAGGCTTTGCAAGGCCTACAAGTATTGTTACGTATCTGCTCGTTTGTTAATTTTCAGTATAAATTCTTTCCGAGGAACTTCAGTGATACAAGTCCCTTCTTTATTAAAAATAGTTTATTTTTTCTTGATACAACTTTGTAATACACAAAATTTCCAC